TTCGAACTGCTTTTTGGTATACAGTTTTCTTTTAAAGTTGGTCGGATTGGAGGATCACATAAATTTTTTTTCTCCTTATTCTCACCTCGGAACCTGTACCATTCTCCATTTCTTCGGTGATGGATGAACGTCGGGTATTGTTATAGAAACATCCGAACTCTCTGACTTTACCCGTTGTTTCCATCTTGCAATGTTGTTTTGACTGTCCATACCACCGTTTATAACTTTCATCGTCTTAAGTATTAGGAGCTAGAGAAGAAATTAAGTATCAGAAGTTTAAGGCTTAAACAAAACGAGCCCAATATAACTTACCTTGCCACATATTATCTCGATCAGCACGTCCAAGGATTTACTAAAGTTATTTGCATCAGCATAAACTTCAAGTGGATCTCCTTTCGTATATCTGCAGGTGTATCCAGCTGGGCAGTCAAGATTTGTCCTAATCAACACCGCACCTTTAAAAAGAAATAATACGATTATTAAAAATTCAGGAAGTCACCTGAGAAATACTAACCTGCGTGAGCGAAGCCGACTATGTTCAGCTTCCTCAGCTTTTCTTCAGCAAAATGAATCTTTCCAGCAAGATGGATTAAAATATCTTTGAGAGTTCTCGGCAAGGTTAGCCCCAATTCTTTTATTAGCTTAGTACCAGACGTACCTTCCCACTTATGACCTGCTTCTGATGCCCCCCAGTCCGTTGATGTCGACCCAATAGTTCTAATGTATGCGTCTCCCTTTTTTCCGATCGCTTTTCGTTGGATCGGTTCAGTGTTCGACAAAGTCCTGTGACGATTTTTTCTCTCAGAAGAAGCTAATCCGGCTTTCTCACCTCTACATCCCAAGAAAAAAAATAAAATAAAAATAAATCACAAGCAAAAACCAAAGATACTACATTTTTTACAGACCCAACAACGTAAGTATATGGCGTATCCGAAAACGCGATATCGATCGACCTCCAAACATTTATGCGATACCATGCCTCTGGCATGTCCAAAGCTAATGGATTTGGTTGCATTTCGAGAAGTCGGACCCTGTACAATAATGACTTATTAGTTCAACGCAGATAAATAGATTTTCTGGCCGAATGATGATCTCAAAAGCCGGCTATCAAGGATTGGAAACCGAAGCTCGGATTTTCGGAGTACTATAAATTATAAAAGTTTTTTCACTTCACTCACCAATCAGAAACCGTCGTTCTTACGTGCTCGTAGACAAAATCATTCTGTGGATTGTAATTGCTCCCAAGTCGGCGATGTGGCGTATTCAACGCTATTCGTATTTCCTTTGTAGAGTCCTGACATATCCATTCGTTTTACTAAATAAATAATATTGTGACAATCCAAAATAAAATACCTTTGCGAATGTGTTTATGTACTCGAGGATCTCATCATCAATTTCCAGTGGATCATTCCCGTTCTCCTTATTAATTATTTCAGATAACTCCTCTTCTTTGAATGCGTTTTTAATAAACTCATCCGTAGGATCGAGTATGAAAGAGTGAACAAGACTAAAAGGCAAAGTCAATGATCCTCTTCTTGAAATTTTTTTTTAAAAAAGGTAACACAACGCTTACTTGTAGTATCGGCATTTCATTCCAAGCTCATAGAGTACATCTTCAACAAACCTTCCTGACTCTAGCTTCCATTTCCTCGAATTTTCCATCATGTTAAATCTAAGTTTGATCAGTTAGTCGATCTAATGGAGCAAGAATGCGCAAAAAAGATATTACCTTTCCGTGTAAAGATTTTTGTCCATGACATCGAATTCATCCTCATCGTCAATATTTTCTTTGTTATAATCATTTGGAAAGAATTCCGATTCCTCCTATAGCACGAATATAGCATTATGGATCAGATTAATCAAACCTTATATACCTTATATCTGGCAAAATGAAAACCAACTAACTTAACTCACCGAAATAAGAAGGCAATTCTCATTTTTCGAGACACACTCTTCACCCTGAACCTGTATTTAGATGATAAATAAAAGTACTATGAGTTAATATTTCTGTATTTATAAATAGATGTTTTCTCAAATCAAGAAAATACCTTCTCCTTTTTCGTTCGCATTTTTTTGCTCGCTGAAACAAATATATTCTCTTCCTGTTGCACATGCACTAGAGTCTATTGTAGATAAACTATGCATATAAGTTTACTATTCAGATATTAATTATAATCAATGCCTCAACATCAACCAGCCTTATAAATAGATTTTCCATATTTTCCGTCGTATGCCCGTTCGTATGGTATTCGAAGGTCTTCAATAAGTTCCTTGGTTTCGGGAAGCTGATTTATGAAAGATTCTATAAGTAGCGCAATCAAAGTAATGGATCAGTATCTAGTTATTACATTCACCTCTTTAGCTTTTAGGATTTTTTCAGCAACAACACGATCGAGTCGTGGTAATGATCTATGGTTAACTATAAATTCCGACGAGCCGTAAAAGTCAGCCAAACACGTTTCCCATAACGGTAATTCACTTTCATTCTTTATAATCCAGTCGACATAGTGTTTTAAACTCCAGAAACCAACTTTAACTGAGGTGAAGTAAGAATGCATCTTTTCCGAAATAAATGGTATATTTTTTAGGTAGTTTAACGTCGCGTTCCGTAAAATTCGGACGGAGTTAGTGAAAAATTAAAAATCACGTGAATTACACATTTCTACAATTGTTTACATCACATGCATATATAAATAGTACTTTAAAAAATTGATCTACATTATTTGACAAGCCGGGTACTCGCGTCCGAATTTTTAAAAATATTAGGTGGGTGTACGCGTCAGATCTACTTAAGTTGCGAAT